AAGAGTGTAATTTTCCACAATTTTCTTAATTTATGTTTTGCAAAATGATACTTTTTTCTTTCCCTTTTCCTCCAATTCTTAAAGGGAAAGAAAAAAGGTGGCATTTAAGACATCCGTAATGCCAGTGAACATTTTTTTAAAGGAATTTTTCTTGCTAGCTCTTTTTCTTCTTCATTGCTCGAGTTCCACTTTTTATGGAGCTGGTTAATAATTCTTTGAAAAAGAGTTGAAGTGTATACTTATGAATTTCAGACTACTCACCGAAGCATGTTAAGCCCTCTAGCTGAGGTGGAATTAAATCACATGATCTGTTTTCTGGTTAGTAGCTTATATAATACTTTACTACTTTTTTTTGGGGGGGGCGGGGAGGGTGGCCAGGATGGTGGTGCTCACAGTTAGGGACACATAAAATGATGTCCCTTTAAAAAGCTAGATGAGGGACTGACAGGTGGCATGGTGGTTAAGGGTGCTGGACTCCTACATGGCCAACTGTGGTTTGAGTCCCGGACCTGGCAGCTTGATCTCACTCTCTCTGGCCAAAATTGAAAAATAATTATAAATAAATAATTTTTTTTTTTTTGTAAAGTGCTCACAGTTAGGGACACATAAAATGATGTCCCTTTAAAAAGCTAGATGAGGGACTGACAGGTGGCATGGTGGTTAAGGGTGCTGGACTCCTACATGGCCAACTGTGGTTTGAGTCCCGGACCTGGCAGCTTGATCTCACTCTCTCTGGCCAAAATTGAAAAATAATTATAAATAAATAATTTTTTTTTTTTTGTAAAGAAGATGCTGCTGCTGAGGCCAGCAGGTGGCATGGTGGTTAAGGTGCTGGGCTCCCACATGGCTGACTGCAGTTCGAGTCCTAAACCTGATGTCTTACTTTCTTGTTTTTTTTCTCTCCCTCTAACTCTATCCCTTTACTGGTCAAATTAAAATAAATAAATAAGTAAATCAATTCTTTTATATAAATATATACTTATATATTTTTATATAAATGTGTGTGTGTGTGTGTGTGTGTGTGTGTATTTTATTTATTGAGGAAGCTGGGGGCTCCAGCGCATAGACCTCTCGGTTTCAGCGTTCTTGCTGTCCGTAGCACCCTCTGCTTCTTTCCTGTGTGGCAAGGCCTGGCAGCCAGATTCATCATGTCTATTCTCAAGATCCATGCCAGAGAGATCTTCAACTCTCGTGGGAATCCCACTGTTGAGGTTCATCTGTTTACCTCAAAGTCTCTTCAGAGCTGCTTTGCCCAGTGGTGCCTCAAATGGGGTCTATGAGGCCCTGGAACTGCAGGACAATGGTAAGACTCGCTATATGGGAAAGGGTGTCTCAAAAGCTGTTGAGCACGTCAATAAAACTATCGTGCCTACCCTG